GGGGGTGGACTGGGTTCCGGCCCTCGGAGGCTGACGGAAGGCGGTGGCTGAGGAGCGGCGCCTCTGGTTGAGCGCTTGCCGTATGTCCCGCACCTGTGTGACCTGCCGCCGCCGCCCAGTAAGGTAGGAACGGTCAGCGCGCCGGGGTTACGCGTACAAAACCTGGGTTCGAATCCCGGCCCCGACGTTTCCTCACGTAGTGCGGTTGGACAGGAGCTGACGTCACCTTGCCGGGCCTCAGTTTCCTTCTCTGGTGCGCTGAGGAGGCGGGGCATGGAACGTGGTCAGAGCACCATCGGTGCTGGCTCTTTGAGCAAGCCAGTTCCCGAAGGCTCAGCCTCTCATTCATTCATTAAAATGTCATTGAGCGCCTACTGTGTGTCAGTCACTGTATGGGCAGTGAGCAGAAAAAAAATACCTGGTCTTATTGGGCTAACATTCTAAGCCAGCGCTGACCTAGAATGCCCTAGTAGAAATACATACAACCTACATGTTTAATTTTTTTATGCTTTAATTTTTTAAATAAAGATGGGCTCTGGCTCTGTTGCCCAGGCTGGTCTGGAACTCCTGGACTCAAGTGATTCTCCTACGTCCGCCTCACAAAGAGCTGGGATTACAGGCATGCTTGCACTCTGCCTAATTTTGTTTTTCTTTTTTTTGTGTGTGTGTGATCTGAAAATAATAATCTTTTTATTTTTATTTATTTATTTGAGAAGGAGTCTTGCTGTGTCACCAGGCTGGAGTGCAGTGGCGTGATCTCGGCTCACTGCAACCTCCGCTTCCCGGGTTCAAGCGATTCTCCTGCCTCAGCCTCCTGAGTAGCAGGGACTACAGGCGCGTGCCACCACAACCAGCTAATTTTTGTATTTTTAGGAGAGACGGGGTTTCACGGTGTTGGCCAGGATGGTCTCTCTCTCTTGACCTCCTGATTCGCCCACCTCGGCCTCCCAAAGTGCTGGGATTACAGGCGTGAGCCACCACCTGGCCTAGAAAAGCTTTTTACAGATTGGGTCTCATCGTGTTGCCCAGACTGGAGTACAGTGGCTGTTCACAGGTGCACTCATCCCACAGGTTTAACTCCTGACCTCAAGCAGTCCTCCTGCCTCAGGCTCCCAAGTAGCTGGGATTATAGGCACGTGCCACCACACCTAGCTCAATTAAATGTTAAATTTAACATTTAATTGTTATATTTTATGGTAGCTAGCATTCTGGATCATCACGGTGCAATAGAAGTATAAGCAAAGCAGGCCAGGCGCAGTGGCTCATGCCTGTAATCCCAGCACTTTGGGAGGCCAAGGCAGGCAGATCACGAGGTCAGGAGTTCAAGACCAGCCTGGCCAACATGGTAAACCCCCATCTCTACTAAAAATACAAAAATTAGCTGGGCGTGGTGGCGGGTATCCGTAATCCCAGCTAATCGGGAGGCTGAGGCAGGAGAATCGCTTGAAACTGGAAGGCAGAGGTTGCAGTGAGCCAAGATCCTGCCTCTGCACTCCAGCCTGGCTGAAAGAGGGAAATTCCATCTCACAAAAAAAAGAAGTATAAGCAAGCCACAGATTTGTCAGCGAGGTATGTAATTTAAATTAATTAAATTGTTAGCCATATTTAAAAATAAGTAAAAAGAAACAGGTGATGTTAATTGTAATGTGTTTTATTTAACTCAGTATGTTGAATATGTTATTATTTAAACATGTAGTCAATATTTTAAGATACAGGATATTTTGTATCTATTATCTTTCCAAAATACAAGATACTTTGTGTGTCCTTTTTCTTTCCTGCATGCTTTTTTTTTTTTTTTTTTTTAGAAATTTCTCTCACTTGTTTCACTTTATTATTCTTGCTAATGAGATTCCTGACAGTGCAATGCTTAAAGCATAGAAGACTTAAATTTTTGTATCACCATTTAAATGTGATTACTTTT